TGCTTTTATTTAACAGAAATTGCCGTACCAGAAGTGATGTGTGACACAGAATGTTGACAAGACGGAGGATGAAACCGTTTGCCCATTTCTCAGGCCGTTTTCTACGCACATCATTTCTGAAATGCTCTAATAAGCCCTTGTAATATTCAGAGGTCACTGTAGTGTTCCTGGGTACAAACTCAGCTTGTACAATTCCATCAAGGTCAAAACACACAATTAACATCACCTTGATGTTAGATCTTGATTGACGTGCTTTTTCACACAGGAGTACTGGGTAATTTTCATTGAGAAGTCTGAACCTTGCTCTCAGGATCATAACCATAGGTCCAAGTTTCATCTCCCGTGATGACGAGTCTTAAAAAGCTGGAATCTGAAGTGGCATGATCGTGCAGCTCCAATGAAATTGACAAATGCTGTTGCTTTTGTTCAACAGTCAAAACGCGTGCAACAAATTTCGCGCTCATTCACTTCATATTAAAATCTGTTTTAAAATGCTTTGAACGGAACCATAAGAAATGTTCAGACCCTCAGATATTTTCCCTAATAGTCACTCACCTGTTTGATCGAATAATTTCACTTACTTTTTCAACATTCTCTTGGGTTTTTGGTGTTGAAGGACATCTTGATCTCTCCTTGTCTTCGATTCACAGAGTAGTTGAATAAATGTTGTACATTATGGTATAACCATACTACAAAATATTATGCAGCTGTTTAAAAGCTCCTCCTCTCATCTTAATTTCCAGACCAAGCCAACTGGAACTCACAGTAGTCTGTTAGACAAACCCAATTATTCTGTTTTCCCTTGTTTTCTACAATTGGCTAGAAGAGGGTGGTTGTCAGAACAGAATTTGGGGCTGACTTTGCTCCTCTCTAGACAGATGATAGGTTTTCTAAAATCAGATTACGGGCTTTACACTGGAGCTAGATGGGATCATGGGTTGCTTATCATTTGAACGAACTCTGAGGGGGCAAAGTGATTACTAAACTAAAACATAAAAATGAAGCAGGCGATATGGAAGAAGAGTTGATAAAGCACATTAAATAAGGGTGTTTTACAGGTTGTAAGAGGTAGAAATACAATACACCCTAAAGCCCAGGACCTACCCTTCTTTTGGAATATAGCGTAATTTCACAAAAGGCACCTTCTGTTTTTTATCTTAAAGATTTTATTAGGGAATTGGGGGAGGGGAACAGACAAGTTGCTGTCCTTTTGTTCTTTAGTCTAGTTGTGGAGGATGTTGCTTCACTGGCCCATGTTGGTATTATCATTGTGCTCTTCCCGGATGAAGCAGTTGCTTGCTGGCCATTGGATGGCAGCTCACAGCAGCCCAGTTCCAGGTCGAACTATTATTCACCATCTTAGCTATAGAGGGCGCAGCGTCACTGGCCCTCATTTGGGATTCGAACTGGAGCCCTGCTGCTCAGAGCTGGCGTCCCAAGCCAACTCCTAACCAACGCGCCACTCGGCCGGCCCAAAAAAGGCACCTTCTAAGTAGAAGTATAAGCCGCTTTGCCCCAGCACTCCCAGTTGTCATTCTACCTGCCATTTCATACTCCAACAGAGACCTGGGATTTGGTTCTCTCTCCTCCTTCCTCATTTCAAAAATTAATTCCTGATCTTCCCTACAGAGTTCACTGAAGGTAAACTCTTCAGATGAATCAACATGAATATTAGCTTTCTATTTTTGCTCTCATTTTTTAGAAGTTTCTAATCTAGAGTGAAGGGGAACTTGTTTGAGCTTGCTGATTAGAAGATTATGTTCTGCCTCTAAAAATAAAGTAGTATCTTTGTATATCACAATGACACAACCAGCTCTGAGTCACTCTTCTAGGGCAATCATGGGTTCATTGAGTTATGCGTCCAGCCTTCCATCCATCAGTCCTTCTCTCCCTCCCCACTCTCACCCTTCCCTTCATCTACCCACCCACCCAAAAACATTCTCTGATAGGCTCCTCCATTCATTCTGGGAGCAAAGGTATACATTTTGGAGATGTCTGGTAAGGGTTAGAAATCTATGTGGCATCAGCAGTCTCGTTCATTGCTGACAAGAGTGTACATTTCTGAAGGGCTAAATATCAAGAGCCTTAAAAGCATGCATAGGGGCCGGCCGAGTGGCACGATGGTTAAGAACTGGCTTGGGACGCCAGAGGGCCCCGGTTCGGATCCCACATATGAGGGCCAGTGACACTNCTCAAAGCCATATAAATAAAATTCCATGCCTGGGGCTGGGGGAGAGGATGGGAAAGGTTATATACGTCTAAAGAGTAGTGAAGGGGAAAGAAAAAAAAAAACAAAGGAAGAAAATATGGATTTCAAAATATATCCAGGATGAGAACGCTTCTCACCACCTCGACCTCGGATAATGGTCCATCATCTCTGGCCTGGTTTTATTTTAATGACCTCCTAACTTGCTCTGCTTCTACCCTTTCCCTCATTGCAGCTGGAACTTTCTAATTAAAACATAAGCCAGGCCCCTTATTTGGCCTCTGCCCAAATCCCTCAATGGTTTTTCTTCTCCCCTGAATATGAGCAGCTCCCAATTCCCGCCTCTGCTGCCTCTGACCTCATCTTTTACCATACTCCCCCCTGTCCCGTCTTCCAGCAACTTGGGCGTCCTCACTGCTCCTAAAGTAGACCAAGCTGCTGCAGGCCCTGCATCTTCGCTGCCTCAGCTGCTCCTCCTTCAGGTAACCTCCCGGCTTGCTCCCCAAACCTCATCACATCTCTGTTCACATATCACTTTTATCATATATAAAATGGCAGCCTCAAAAAGCATGCATATACTTTGGCCCAGTAATTTCCCTTGTAAGAACCAATCCTATGAATCAAAGATTCATCAAAGGGAATCTATGTATAAGAATAATCAGTAGCACACTTCTCACAGTACTCATAAAGTTCGTCATAAAGAAAGGAACTGGGAACAACCTAATTAAACAACAGTATCTTTCTAGAAAATAATTAAATAAAAACATGATAAATTTAGGTTATTGATTATAATACAACCAATAAATCTTATATTTTCAAGAAATAGTTAATGACATGGAAAAGTGCTTATAAATAATGTTAAATGAAAAAAGGCAGTATATACATAATCATAATTCTGAGAGAAAAACATCAAAACATAAACAAGGGGTGGTTACTTCTGAATGGTGAGACTATCAGTGATTACTTTAGGTTTTTTAAAATACTTTTTAATATCCTCCAAATTGTTCAAAGTTACCATGTATTACTGATACAACTAGGACGGGAAACGTCTATAAATAGATTTTAAAGTTACATTCTCTCAAAAAAAAATGACATGAGGAAGAAAAAAAAGGAGGAAGGAAAAAAACAAGTTATTAAGTCTGGGATTCAACCTGCAATTCAGGTCAGCTTAGTATTTCCAACTAAATATAAATATTTGTTAAACTGAACTATACCAATGCTAACCTAGGCAAACTTGGCAAGAAGCATTTTATTTGATCCTCTGAATTTTGCTGAAAATTTCTCCTTTGAAAATATGTGAGCTCTAATCCTTGACTGTTGTGTACTGCTGCTGAAATCTATGAATGCCAAACTCCCAGGCTGGTACCCAATTATTAACACATCCAGCCTACCTTTTTACCTTAATTCAGGCCAATGCTGTGAGTTGAAAATCTCTGAAAGCTATCATACAAAAGCCATTTTTCAAAAACTGCCCTGCTGTGCTGTGATAATGACGAGGAGCTGATGTATCCTGTAGCACACTGTCACATTCAGGGTCTTAAGGAGAAAATGGACAGACAAGACTATTTCCTCCGTGTGCCCCCCACAACACCCTCTACTGGCCTCCCCCTCCACAGCAGGTCACCTTATGGAGATGACTTGTATATGAGTTGACTTCTATTAAACTGTAAGCTCCTTTCAGGAAGAGACTGTGGCTTTTTCATGCTCCTACTTCCAGCCCCTGGCACAGAACATGCCATTCAGTCGCTGCTCCAAAAAGGTTTTTGAACTAAACTACATCGATGCCCCCACCCCCAAGATTAAGAAAAAATAAATATATTCAAGACATAAAACACTTGGAGCATTAGGAAGAGCTACCAAATAACTCAGAAGTTTATATGATACAGAACTTGACAAAAGCAGGAAATTAGAATTCAGACAATGTTTGGATATTCCTATGGGCAAAGGTGGGAAGTGTTTTTCCGTCAATGACTTCTGATCCAAGCTCAAGATTCAAATGAGCACCACGTACAAATAAAAAAATCTTTTTTTCCTTAGAATGAGAAATAAATATTAGCAGAGCATATAAAATGCCCCTTAAATATAAGGGATAATTTAAAAATACACTTTAGTTCCTGTTATGGTCCATTCAATGTAAAAGGAAAGACAACAGGGGTAGGGGACATATATAATCCTTTCAAAGGTGGCCACAGGCTCTAACGAGGACACACTCCCACCTTCAGCAGATATTGGAAAAGGCTACCCACTAAAAATCATGCTCCTAAGACTGGTAGAAGACACATCAAATTAGCCATGTGCAGAAGCTTCCACATGCAAAAAGATTTGTAAATACATGACAGAAAGGAATGAATGCGGCTTCAAACTCTCCAGTGAGATGGCAATCTCAACTGTAACTGAGATGTGTCAAGGCCACCGGGACGACTGCAGGCTGAGTGTCACGTAACTCCAGGGCATGCCATTCATCCAATGATGCCTCCTGTAGTTTTCACAGCTGTGAACAACCTGCATAACTGTATGTGGCAGTCCTGGATTTAACTAACACAGCTAAGGGATGTGAAAGCAGAAACAGAATGGCCCAGCTGAGCTCTAGAACAGGACGTGCCAACAGGGGCCCTCGTGACATTCTGAACCAGATCCTTCTTTGTTGTCAGGGGCTGTCCTATGCATTGTAGGACGTTTAGGGGCCTCCCTGCCTTCACCGTGCTGGCACACCAAGCCTCCAGGTATACAGACTTTGGTTCCAAAGCCATAAAGATTCCCCCCTTGTCCAGATGTGCAGAACTAGAAAACTCACCTAATGCCCTGACAACTCGCATCAGGACTTCCCCAACTTTCATTCTGGTCTCCGGAGTGTGCTTGTCTTTACCACAGTCATACTGAGCCAACAGGCCAAGCAGGATTTTCTCAGGGTACGCATCTGAGAGCAGGGCAACCCCTGGCATGGAAAATAAAAAGAAAGAATTCATTACTGGTTAGGGTTGAAAGGCAAATAAACCCAGACAGCCCGTGATGGGATGAACACATAGACATTTAAACCCATCTCTATAATTCTACCAGCAAGGGCTGCCCTAGATTCGGAGTGACAACATAGTGAGTGGAAATTACATGGGTCAGACTCCTGAATTCTTCTAGTCCCAGCCCTTATATGATCTCTAAGATCACTTCCAGCACCAATAGTCCATGATCTATGGATTACAGTCTCTTGAAGCAGAGGCTAGACGATCACACATCATGGTAGGGATTCACACAACAGCAGGAGAAGACTGCATTAAATGCCTTCTAAGATCCTTCCGATTCTGAGACTCTAAGGTTCTGTGACTAGTACTGTCCCTGCCAACACGCCAGCCTGAAGCACAGCACTGATTCCTGTCTCTGCTGTAGTTCTCCATTCCAGCACGAGTTCTCTCTGCAAAACTGTCAATGACGAGAGCAATTTACACAAGGAAAGATCTTCAGAGCATTCTGGGCAGGACATATAGTAGACATATGCTTATGGCTGAGTTCCCTGGTCAGAAATAGAAAAGATTCTGCTCGAGTCCTCCTTCCTAGGCTTTGCCGATTCTTTCTCCCATCATGCCAGTGCCTCCTAAAGGTATAATCTGCAACAGTGTTATCATTATCTGAGACCACCTCCATATCAAGCCAACTTTAGAGGGGTGGCGGGAGGAGGGGAGATGTAACCTAAGACAGGACCAGAAATAAAGCCCATGTTCTCAAAGCCATATAAATAAAATTCCATGCCTGGGGCTGGGGGAGAGGATGGGAAAGGTTATATACGTCTAAAGAGTAGTGAAGGGGAAAGAAAAAAAAAAACAAAGGAAGAAAATATGGATTTCAAAATATATCCAGGATGAGAACGCTTCTCACCACCTCGACCTCGGATAATGGTCCATCATCTCTGGCCTGGTTTTATTTTAATGACCTCCTAACTTGCTCTGCTTCTACCCTTTCCCTCATTGCAGCTGGAACTTTCTAATTAAAACATAAGCCAGGCCCCTTATTTGGCCTCTGCCCAAATCCCTCAATGGTTTTTCTTCTCCCCTGAATATGAGCAGCTCCCAATTCCCGCCTCTGCTGCCTCTGACCTCATCTTTTACCATACTCCCCCCTGTCCCGTCTTCCAGCAACTTGGGCGTCCTCACTGCTCCTAAAGTAGACCAAGCTGCTGCAGGCCCTGCATCTTCGCTGCCTCAGCTGCTCCTCCTTCAGGTAACCTCCCGGCTTGCTCCCCAAACCTCATCACATCTCTGTTCACATATCACTTTTATCATATATAAAATGGCAGCCTCCTTCACCTACTGCTCTTTATCCCTCTCCCTCTGCTTCATTCTTCTTCTCAGAGCTTAATATTACCTAACATGTTATACGTTTGCTTCTTTACTGACTGTTCTCCTCCTTGGAACGTGAACTCGACAAAGTCAAGGACTGTTTTATTCCCTGCTGTAGCTTCATGCCGAGAAGAGTGCCAGCACATAGCAGGGGCTCAGTAACTATTTGTTGAATGAATGAATGAATGAATGAATGAATGAATGGTTCAAAAATACAGTCTTGATATAAATTTCAGGAATTAAAGAAGAGAAGATGGGGAAGGAATCACATAAATGCCTGAGAAATCTATAATTATTTTTCACCTGAGTTTACCCTTCTCCTGTTTAAACTTGACAATCTTGCAGGCAAAGTCTACATACCGTTTTTTCTGTGATAGGCTGTGATTCCATTCTCTTATAAATCAGATCTACACAAAGGCGTCTACCTGCTGAGGCCTACACCTGTGTGCCCATTCTCTTTTCTGCCCTCCCCACTCCTACCTTTTCATTACTTCCGAAAAGCCTGGGAAGTCTCTGCATGTGGCCTTAAGCCACAGCTCCTTTTATGTGGCCTCCAATTTTATACAAACAGGAGCTCTGCTCTTAAGGGAGTTTCAGGCTGTGGCAGGACCTGAATTAGACAGCTTCCCTGCTGGCAAAATGTGACCCTGCATTTGTAGTTAGCTCTATTATGTAAAACAATGGAAAACTTCTTGGAGGTCCAAGGTGGAGTTAGAGACATCCTAGCATAGGAAAACTATCTGTGGCTTAAGAAAAAGATAAATGAATTGTTTGCTAAGGGAAAGAAAGGGAAAAGCTTCCAAGTTTTGAAAGAGCCCCGGAAGGAAAAGTGAATTGGTGGTTGGTAACTGCAATTCTGGTAGACGTTGCATTGCTGATACATTACAAGCCCTCATACATATTATAGATCTGTATCTATCATAACTACTTTCCATCAGAAGTTCCCAACTAAAAAATCAGGTGCGTTTGTTTCCTTTTAGGAATACAGTTATAGCTTTGTAATGGAAATCAGTGGAAAATTGGGATATGCTTCAGAAAACTTTAATCTATATCTAGCTTTTCTAAAACACATCTATTACTAAAATCTCTCCTGTTGTTTATGCCTTTTTTTATTTTATTTATTTATTTATTTATTTATTTTTTATTGGGGAATTGGGGAAGGGGAACATTGTGTTTTTCCAGGACCCAGCTCAGCTCCAAGTCCAGTCAACACTTTCAATCTAGTTGTGTGTGTGTGTGTGTGTGTGGGGGGGGGTCCCGTGCAGGAGTCAAACTGGCAACGTTGTTGTTAGGAGCATGCACTCTCACCAGCTGAGCCATCTTGTCGCCCGTTGGCAGCTCAGCTTGGGCACAGCTCACTGGCCCATGTGGGAATCGAACCAGCGACCCTGTTGCTCAGAGCTCACGCTCTTAACCAACTGCACCACCCGGCCAGCCCCTATGCCTACTTTCTGTCATTAATCTTGAGCAGAGAACAGTTATTTACTTCTCTGAGCATATCATCCCGCTATACATTTCAAAACCGAATGAGCTCCTGATTTCCTCTCTTCCGCAGACAGGCATTTTGGTTGCACACGGCGTCTACTCTCTCCTGGTAACACCACCTGGTGTTCTTTGGGAAATATCCCTTCCCCACGCTCAGGCTATGTGGTTTGAGTGGAGTTAACTTCCCCCTTTCTCTTCCTTCACGTGTGAACTCACATCCCAGGCTGGTCAGTTAGGATACTCCATCCCACTCCCACCACAAGGACTGGCTCAGGAATGGGCAATAAGATTCAATCCTGGAGCCCACACTGGAATTGCTGGGAGATAAGCTCTTTTTTCTTTTCTTTTTTGTTAAAGTTATTAACCTGAAGCTGCTAGTGGCCACATGTGGAGCAAGTCCACCCAAAAATATTGCCAATACAGAAGAGGGTCAAGCCAAGAGAGGGCAGGAGAAAAGGCAGAGACTTGATGGCGTGCTTTCAGCCCCTGGATCCAACTGTACTTCTATCCACCAGAGTCTTTGGATACATAAGCCAATGAACATCCTTTATGCATACGCCATTGGGATGTTTTTCTCAACCAAAGGAATCCTAACACAGCCTTCTTCAGATTTTTTTTTTAATTTCAGGTTTGTTTGTTTTTTAACTTTTCCTATAATGCTAAACTTTTCATTCCACCAGGGAGCTTTAAATTCTCCCAATCTTGCATTAAAAGGTTGCCAATAACAAAGTAGTTTCCTTGCTTCCCACAGTCCCATGTTAGCAATTGTTTATCTTCCTGCCGGCCTGCTCCACAGACTGCTGCCAAATGGCCTTCTGACTGTTTGAATTTTACCTTCTAAAATAGTTGCCACCTATGAGTTTATAAATCCATAGAGGACAAGGTCAGTTCCCTCCTCATTGTTACACCGAACAGTGAAGACAATCACATATGATGGTTAAGACTATGTAACAATGAAAAGGCATGAGTTTTTTTGTGGTGGCTTTCATTTATTTGAAGAGTTTTCTGAATTTTGGCAACTGAGGAAGCATGGCCATAACCGTCATATGACTCTTGGCCCCTCACACTTGATAATTCCTTTGTAATTTGAAAATGAGGTAATCTCTGGGTCAGCACAGACTTCAAGGAAACGTGACACATCAATCTCTTTGGCAAGAAGAAGAAAATGATTGTGTGAGAGATAGCAGCTGCTCCTGCTCTGATCGCAGGAAAATGACTATGCGTTTCAAGACATGATATAACAGATAAAATACATAGCAGGCAAAGGTGAAGCAAACTGGCAAGAGTTCGTGAAGGCATGCTGACCCGTGCTTTGGGGCAAAGCATAGGATATAGGCAAATGAACTTAAAAAACATTAATAAAAGCACTTCATGCAACAAAACAGAGACAGTCAACTTTGTAAAATAACTGTTCTCTTCCTCCCAATGATGTTTATTACAAAGCCAGAAACGTATTCTGATCAAAACAAGGCTGACTTCAAGATGATGCCTCGCATGGTGCTCAGTGGGTTTGCAGGCCTTCAGCAGTGACCGTAGTTTAGGTGTAGCCTCACTTCACATAGTGCACCTGAATTGTCAGAAAGACAGTCGGATTCTAAATGTCTTTGCAGACTGGCTCTATCCCAGGAAACTGCTAAGTCATCCCCACTTCAAAACTAACCTGCCTCATTCCCCTGGGTCGACAGAGCCACCTGCCTCCCCAAAACGCCACATCGACCTGGAAATCACCTATCCAAACCTCTCAGGTATTTCTGTGGAAAAAACTATAAGAAACACACACCTCCACGTACTGTGTGATTCCATTTAGATAAAATGTCCAGAATAGGCAAATATATAGACAGAAAGTAGAGTTAGTGGTTACCTAGGGCTGTGGCAGTTGGGGGAAAATGGGGATGTACTAGTGGATATGGAGTTTCTTTCTGGAATGATAAAAACATTCTAAAATTGATTGTGGTGATGGTTACACACTCTGTGTAAAAACTGCTGAACTGTATATTTTAAGTGGGTGGAATTGTATGGTATGTGAGTTATATGTCAAAAAGTTGTTACAAACAACTATAAGAAAAGACTTCGTATCTACCCTTTTAGGTTTTTAGAATAGAAGAAAAAGGGAGAAAATAAT